CAGGCTCAGTGGAGCTGTGTTAGACTAAGATGCTGTTGGGCTCAGCTCTGTGTCCTCAGATGAGAATGGGGCCACAGGATAAGGGATAAGCTGTGAATCAGTGCACCGGGAGCTGCTGCAGGCTGCTGGCAACTGGGGGTGGGCAGGATCCGTGTGGCTGGGCCGCTCCCCCGCAGCAAAGCCCCGCAGACAGGCGAGCACTACCAGGGTCAGGGCGTGCAGCCGGGGCAGCAGGGGAGGAAGCTTTCCCAAGTTTCTGCTTTCACCGCCTCCATGGAGGCACCTCGAGAAGGACTGTTTTCAGTGGGTGGTTCCAGCTCTCCTCTGTTGAAGCCATAAACACCCGAGGGTGAAACTGGAGAGTGAAACCGAGACCAGCCCTTGGGCCAGCAGCTCCCAAACCCCGTAGGGGAGCTGGCTCTGCCTGGGAGGGCATGTCTAAGGGGGCAGGGGTGAGCGCCCTGCCTGCCCTGCCCACCCTGCCCTCTCCCTGGGGCATGAGGAGCAGAGGTGTCCTGTTTCCAGGCTAGGCCCCGCTGGTGCTGTCTGTAAACCGACGGGGAGATGAATATACAAGGTGCAATCCTGCTGGTTAAGCTCCCAGCTGGTGGGCGGAGGGGGAGGAACTCTCCTCTTGCCAGGGAGCTCCACTCTCATCTGTCATGGGAGACTGTCCTGGGCCTGCTCCGGCTTCTCCCCTTTCTTCCTTCTTAGGGCGTTACTCGCTCCTGTTCCTGCCCTCTTACATGGGGCACTGGTTGACTGAAATAGCTGCTGCCCTGAGCCATGGGGTGAGCTGCCCCAGTTGACCCCAGAGGCTCGATTTTGCAGATCAGGGCCTCCCCATGTCCTCGCCCCCAGCTCTGCCTCTGGGTGTTGTTAGCACCGGCAGCTCCTCTGGGCTGGTGTTGCTGTAGTGGGAGCCATGAGCATGACAATTGCTTTCCAGGTTTTTAATGTGTGCCACACGTGGAAGACCCCCGGTTGTATCTTGGGAGCTCTGACAAGCCCATGCTTTTGGCAGTAAGCATTGTAACAGCTGTGATGAGGTAGGTTTCCTCACTGAGCGCTGTGTGGGGCTTTCCGTAAACACCACAGTGAAGGTCGTGTGAGGGCACTGGCCCTGGGAGGGCCCAGCGCTGGGGCAGAGAGCGGATCCTGATGCTGTTGGGCCTTCTCTACCCGCTCCTCCTGCCACACTCGCTCTCTCCTCTCTTTAGGCCACTAGTTCCTTGCCAGAGAGTTTGACCACAAAGAGTCGCCAAGATAGCTGGGCCAGGAAGAAAACGTCGCACCCCTGACCCAGACTCCATTACCGACCCCGGCGGGCCGTTTGTGTCCTCCAAACGGCTGAAAATGTCCAGCAGCACCAATGCCCCTGGCCAGAGGAGAGTGTCTCGGGGCTTGGATGATGCCACCAACAAGAAGAAGCAGAAAGATCGAGCCAACCAGGAAAGCAAGGAAGGTGAGAGCCCCTCAGCAGCGCTGCGGCGAGCAGGCCTGTGATTTCTCAGCCCCGCAGGGTGGGAGCCTCGCAGCCATCTGCTGCAGGATAAGCAGATTTAACTAATCGCTTCCTGCAGCTGATGGTAAGTAACCTGTGTGTTGTGGGATCCTCTTTGGCACAGTATCCTCCCTGGACCTGTAACCTCCTTCTTTCAGGCGCTACTTAGCCCCAGCTATGTGAGGAAGGTTGGACCTGTGGCTTTGTCAGTTTAGGCTTTGTCAGTTTTATCTAGGACGAGAGGAAATGGCCTCAAGTTGTGCCAAGGGAGGTTTAGACT